GATTCCTCCATGAGACTGAGCACTAACTCGCCCTCTCATTTTTCCCACAGAAAGCAGCGTGTGACCGACCAGCCCCACAGGAGCACTGCACGGACCCTCTGCACTGGGAAGACAGAAGAGAGCACTCACGGCACCAGAGCACCTACCTGGACCTTTCTCACTAACACCCATCACCCCAATAAATCCACCCTCCGGGGTATTGATTGAGATTACTTGTCGTGTGATTCTTCACCCCGTTACAGTATGATAATATAATTAATATAATGCTATATAAAAATTTATTATTTAAAATCACATCAAATGTATAAAATAAATTATTAATTAATAAATTGTTAATTATTGTAATTATACAATTATGATATTTATTCAAATATTAATTTATTATAAATAAATAAAAAAATATAGTGCATATATATTTTTGTAAAAAAAAAAAGTTTATTTATTAGTTTATTAAGGCCTCCTCCAAAACAAAACAAAAAAGAAAAAAAGAAAAACGTACTCCTGGTGAGCGTTCACAGTTATCTCTTCATGAGTCATGAGGTCAACTCACCAGAGAAGGCTCCATTCAGTGGGGCAAGAATAGTATACTCAGTCTCAGGCTGCATGGCGGCAGACAGGCCAAGCTCAGACACCATGTCACTGAAGATGCTCTGAGATTTGCCTATAAGCTCCATCACCTGCTTGGCTGCAAGACAAGATACACACTGATCACAACTGTAGATTTAGATGTTATATCAGTGACAATACATTTATATTTGAATATATGCAAATGTATGACATAAGGATGTAATTTTTAAAGTGAGCTGTCCCTTTAAGATAAAATAAAGTCAGACTGAACCCAGTGGGTAGCTACAGAGTCTCACCTGAGTCAGGCATGAGCACCTGGTCGATCAGATGAATGACCCCATTGCTGGTGACAATGTCCTTCTTCAGCACCATCTTGATACCATTGACTGTGAGACTCTCACCATCACATCCGATCTCAGTATTACTGCCCTCAATAGTCCCATAGACGGAGCCTGCCATAATGGCCTCAGAGCACTGCACTGAGTTCAGGAGGTGGTACTTCAAAAGGGCTTGTAAAATAAATAGAACAAGAGAGATGGAGAAAGGTTAAATGACAGATTGAAAGATAAACAGTGTGGTGACCTAAACTGTTGGGATGCCTTTATCGTCACAGTCCAGTAAGCATCAAGATAATGACCACTAGAGACAATTAAAAACACAGAAGCTCATGTTGTCCAATGGGACACCCGCCCAGTTCTTCCCGTGCGCAGGCAATGTGGTGGAGAGCTGAGACTCTTACGTCAACTGTGATATCACTTTCCCAGCAGCTGAGCTTATTTTGCCAATTTCCTGCATCTGTTTAAGCTGTACATGTATGTGCAGACTGACAACTTTAAGTGCTTCGCCGAACCAAAATCCAAATCAAAACCACCTTCCTAAAGGGATAGCTCACCCAAAAATGAAAATTCTGTCATCATTTACTCACCTTCATGTCGTTCCAAACCTGTTGAGTTGCTTTCTTATTTTGAACACAAAAGAAGATATTTTGAAGATTGCTGGTAATCAAACAGTTGGTGGTTGCCATTGGACAGGTCCTATTCATCTACACTTCTACACTTTACCACATGGGCTACTGGGTAACAGTCAGCTGTGGAGCACACATTAATGCACAATGGTGCATTGAGAGTGAATGTTGGCTGCAAAAGGGACAAATAGGACACTTTAGGGCAGTGGTTCTCAGTCAGGGAGCTGAGAACCAATAGATGGCCGCAGCACACTTCCAAGGTAGCGCAAGATGACTTAAAATATTTTTTGTAAAATACAAAGCAAACTTTAAAATAAGCTAAAACGGTTAAAAATGTAGTTCCTCAAAAAAAAAAGAAAAGAAAAAAATACATGCGTTTAATGATACAAAATGTGAACGTACCAGTTTCCAAAATATTCCTATGAACGATTTATAAAACGTCTGTATAAACAAAAATGTTCATAAATGCATCTCTATTTTTAAATCTCCACTTCATCTTAAATTCAAGTGTATGTATTGTTATTATGATTATTGTTTTATGTGAGTAATGAATATAAATGAATTCATTTCAGTGATGTAATAATTAAAGAGCAGTTAAAATGTTGCTCATTTGTGCATATAATGAGGCCCCGGGTTCCCACATTCTTAGAAAACCTGGATATATGAGGGAATTTTCAAAGCATGATTTCTACATGAAAAAGTCAGGGAAATTAATAAAATCTTAAGAAGCCATTTCTAGAAGGATTAATGAATATATAATTTTCACAAACTGTGAGGAACATTTCCTGAAACTGTTCTTGAAACTTTAAGCTTCATTACATTACAGTAGAAGTACCAGAAATACCCGGGCCTACACGGGGGGCCTTTGATTATTGTCTTGGACAGTCAATCCTTGGAGTCAAAAAAGTTGAGAACCACTGCTCTAGGGTCCTGTGGACATCATGTACACATGCGAGCAAAGTCCACGAGACCGCAGGTCCACATCAAGTGACTCATTTGGACAGGGCCAAAGATCCTGTAAGAGCCAGAAGTGATGTAATGCTGACATCTGTGTGGTCTTTGAGGCATGCTGAAAAACTAATTTAAGTAGAAAAAATACACAAGAAAATCAGTTTTTGTCGGTGTGCTATAGAGCTTTAAATCAGAATACTAATGCCTGATCTGCTCTAATGATTTGCGTTTTTTCACACGTCATTTACATCAGTCGGGTCTTGAGATAATTGGCCTCAGAAGAACTGAATGTTTACTTCAAAGCTAGTCTTTGCTTTTGAATATTGGTCTCCTCCACATTTAAATGCCTTTGCTATAATGATAATATCAGTCATCTAAAAGATCACACAGATACGATTTGTAATGAGACCATCTTCTCTTTTCATGGGGAAAACTGATTTTGTCTGTTACAACACTTACGATCTTTTTCACCAGAATCAGATGAAGTATTATTCAGCATCTAAGCATTTCCCATCAGGAACCGTTAGAGGTCTTGACCAAACTTGGTTTTGGATCTCCGTGTGGCTGCGGCCAGATCTGCTGTTTGCCCGCTGTCTGAGAATGTGCCACTTCTTGGATTGGACTGCATTTGTGGAGTTTATTTAAAAACATGAGGCTGCTAGTCTTTCAAATCTTTGAAGGTGATTATTTCATCCTGTGCATGCTTTGTGCACGCATACACTGCCGTTCAAAAGTTTGTGACCAGTTTACTTAATGTTTTTGAATGAATTCTTTTATGCTAACCACACCAATTGCAACATAAAATAACTGCTTTCTATTTGAATATATTTTAAAATGTAATTTATTCCTGTGATGGCAAAGCTGAATTTTTAGCATCATTAATCCAGTCTTCAGTGTCACATGATCCTTTAAAAATCATTCTAATATGCTGATTATTATTGTTGAAATGGTTGTGCTGCTAAATACACAACCATTTACATTTCTTTTTTTCAGGATTCTTTTTTTAATATATAGTTCAAAAGCACCGAATTTATCCGAAATATAAATCTTTGGAAACATTATAAAAACCTTTACTGTCACTTTTGATAAATGTAATGCACACTTGCTGAATAAAACTATTTTCTCTGCAAAAAAAAAAAAAAAACCTTACAGACCCCAAACTTTTGCACTGAAGTTTACTTAGTGATGAAACCACAGTAACAGTATTGTTACTATCTTTGTAGTGCATAAAGACTCCTTCAACCTCAACACGAATCCTTTCCTTTATACTGTCTAAATGATGTTCTGTGGTTGTGATCTATGTTTACCTTGAAGTACAGTTGTGTCACTCATAAGTCTTTCCAGCACATCACTGTCTAGTTTTTCAAAGGCCTTGTTGGTTGGAGCAAAAAGTGTGTAGTGTCCGGGCTCTCCCAGTTGACCCTGGAGACCCGATCTCAAAGCAACTGTCTATAAAAGACATCAAAAACAAAATGTTTTCCAAGATAATTCTCTGAATTCATATGTCCCTGCTGAGGGATGTTTTTTCATCTGTGATGGATAGATGGCTATTCAGAAAGCTTCCAAAGAGTTTTGGTCATATTCATTTCCAAAACCACAGGTATAATCAGACGTACGTTCAGTGAAGCCAGGTCATCGTTGGTTTCGATCACGTCCTTGATCGTTTGACTTATGACACTGATGATCCGATCAATGACATGCACAACTCCATTAGTGGCCACCTGGTTGGCGTGAATGATCCTGGCACAGTTCACAGTGACAACCTGCAAAATTGTTGAAAAAGAGTTTAGTGACTTTAAAACTGTAGTTGAGGATAGTTCATCCAAAAATTCATAAATAAAGAGTTTTTTATGGTATCCAAGTAATGTTGTTTTGGACTCTATTGGTCTATATATCTTTTTATATATATCTAAATATCTTTTGTGCTCCACAGATGAAGGAGAGTCTTACAGGTTTGGAAAGACATGAGGGTGAGTAAGTAATGGCACAATCTTATAGGTGCAAACAGTATTGAAATTGTCAACTAAAACTAAAATTAAAAAATTTAATAAAAAATTTATAAAAATGTTAATATAAAAAATAGTTTTTGTTAATGTAATAAATCTGAAATAAAATACAAAAATTTTAAAATCTTGTAAAACAAAAACAAAATAAGTTTAAGCCAAACTAATATAATTACTGCAACAAAAACGGAAATAAAAATAAATTAGCTCAACTACATAGAAATAAAAAAATAATAAAAATGACAAAAGCACAAAACAAAATGACTAAAACATGAATTCAATTAAAATTTTAAATATATCTTAAAACAAGCTCATTCCAAACATTTATAAATACTTTAACAACATAAATAATACTTAAATAACACTGTTTCATACACACAATAAATTTGAAGAAAAGAGAAACATACTCCATTTGAGTAATGATTGATATAGAGGCCTTGTTTGTTATACATGGACTCTAGGGTCATATCATTCTTCAGGTCCTTGGTGAGAAGACGTTTGTTGACCATGTGATAGTGGAGTGCATTGTAAAGCTCAGTGTTTCCACTGCTGACCAAGGCAGCTTTTGATGCCTGGAAATAGAGAATCAACGCTAAAATGTCAGAGCTTTGCACTGGGGAAAGAAGACGGCATGACGGCATATTCCTCAATTTTTTTCTTTTTAATAAGTTCCATTCAGTGCTTCACTTAATAATAACATGCACATTTGATCACCGATTTAAACATAGCATGCAAATACTGCAGCTCGAATGAATTATAACGTGGCAGGGAATTTGACTCACAGGCTCTAACTCTTCCCAGGCATCTTCATTGGGTGCAAACATTGTATAAGATCCCGCTCCATCGAGTTCTTCCCTCAGTTTGGATTGATCGGAGTATCGTTGGGTGATCTTGGCTTGAACCAGATCCAGGGTGCCGTACACAGTGTCAATAGGAGCCACTGGGTGATGGAGCAAAATTTAAAAGAAATAACCAAAAGAGTCTCATGCACAGTTTAGATTCAGTATAGAGTTACAAAACAGCACATATTCCAAACTCAGGCTCCTTTCACATGATGCGAAGCTCGAGTTCTTGTTCAAGACTAGCTGTGGCTCATTAAACTCATGTATAAGTACAGACAGCTGGGTCTGGATTTTGTTTAGAGAACAAAAGCTAATGTTCTCCTCCACTGAACTCGTAGCCAATGAGTAACCTGACATTTAATCTAAGCATGACCTTAAACTGAAGTCAAATGTGTGATAATTGTTGATGATTAACAATATAGCAGTAAAAATAATCATATGTATTAACCTTGGGCATGCGCACTACAGACATCATGACACCGCAAATCATGCTGCTTGGCAAAAATACTGTAAAATTACCATAATTACCATTCAGAACACTCTAGCAAGCATATAGCAATGTTCTAACAACCACTCAGACTAGCAACCTCATAAGAAAATATAAAATACTATGTAATATTTCTATTGATGGAATGAATGAATACTGACCTGCGGGGCACCCATGCTTCCCATCTAACTTCATATAACCCGGACAGCATTCATATAAGACCACCCTGCATAGAAAGAGTCAAAATATTAAAACAGTATCATTAACTTAATATTCAAATGATGTCGCTGAAATGATAGCTGTCTTTGGTAGCTATAGAATTTAAAATATTTTATTCCTACCAAATTTGTTCCATTGATATAAAATGGAAGGAACTGACATTTTGTTCATATTAAGTCCTGAAAACTCACGTGATTAATTATTTAAGCATGTCTTGTTCATTTTTAAATATTCAGATGCGTCTTTTTCACATGAAACATATTTGTTCAACCATCTGGACTTTTGTTATTAATTTAGTGGTTTTTCCCCAACATTTTTGCAGTTTTTAAAAACTGAATTGTCTCAAACTGCTGGAATCAATATATACATATATTGTGTAACAAACATACATAGATAATATATAATCTACCATCATTATATTAAGACTTAGAAAACACAAATTTTTTATTTTTAATTAAATGAAAAAAGACACCAAAAGACCCTCTCTGTACACATTCAATGACCAAAAATGTATCAATTTATTAGAATAAGACAACAGGCTATTCCTGTATCATTTCTCCTTGGAATGTTGACAGTGAAACTAAACCTCAGGTTCCACAGTATTATCTCATTAGCCAATCCTCATAAATTTAACAATATAAGAGGGTAACAACTCAAATCTGAGCCAGCCCTGACAGAGAAAGCATACTGTCTGAAACATGTGAGGTCACTTGCCTCTGGGTGGTTTTGACAGTATGATTGGTGTTTATTTTTAACAGTAATGGTATCATATATCTGGCATGCAGTGGGGAAAAATTTGAAGTGTTCCAGCGGTTTATTGAACACATCATGAGCGTACAGGTTGATAGGTGCTCTCAGAAGAAAATGTTTATTGCTCAAAAGGTGGCTCAGGTGGTCTCAGTTACATTTCATGCAAGTATCAACTTTGTTTTAGATGTTTTTCATTATATTCCTTAGGGAATGTAAAATCTGATACAAATGAGAAAGTAGCAGACAAATTTACAAAAAGCCTATTTTCAAGTACAAATTCCTGAGTTTAAACTGAAATCTCTTAACTTTTGATGCCAGACTTGTAGTTTGGCAAATCTAAGTCCAGTAGAGGTCTCTCCTGAAACTTGAGAGGAGACACATTTGGAGCCTTTTCCTCATGGAAAGAAAAAAGAACTCAATTAGTTAAAAAAAAAAATTCTCAACATTTCTCAATTTGCTCTTCATTTAATCTCAATGATGTCTAGAAGAAACAACTGAGATATCAAAGTGAACTGCCATGTAAAAAACAACAACAACATAATTCTTCCAAAAATATAGTATGTGGGAATAGGCTAGTAAAGAAAACAAAATCTACATTCCATGCTAAATATCTTAATTTGTATAAACGATTTTTATTTTATTTACATTTAAATCTAGTTTAAAATCTTTTTAGATGTTTATTAAGAGTAAACACACTAATTTGAATGTTGGCCACTGGCCTAAAAGCTGTTCTAATACATTAAAAGCGAGCAAAGAGGCTTTCTAACAGCTGTCTGCAGATGGCGTGCATGTAACTCTCCCATGACTAATGTCGTTCCTCATTGGCTTTAGGGAGAGATCTGTGGTTTTGAGAATTATCATGCCATGTAGGCCTGCTGTTTGTCAGACAGCAGTATGGTTGGAAGCAAGCACCTGACACTGCACAGATCAAAATTCGCTCTATTGCTCTTTTTTATCATCATGATAGCGTCTGGAGGCACACACATTGCAGCTGTGGAGGAGTTCATCCCCTGACCCTGAACAATGTTCCCAGTGTCAGCTAAGGAAGGAAAAAGAAAGCCAGCAGGACCGCTGAGAGAGGCCTGACTCAAACTTCCCCCAATGTGGCCAGAGGAGAGACAGCAAGCTGGGCAGCTCTGGACCTATTGCTGCCCAGAGTTTAGTCAGGGGGAATTGGGGGAGACGCCAGGCAGGGGTGTTTCGTGTTTTTATTATTGACCTCCCAGTAGACACATTCAAAATTGATTTCATGTTTCCTACAGTGACCAGAGAGGCAGCAGCCATATATGCTGGAAGAAATACAGAAAAAGGATGAGAATTGAGCTATATCATATATCTCACAGGGGATTGATTAAAGTTCACAGGAGGCTCATTGTAATTCTTTATAATTCTCTATAAGTCTCTCGTGAAAAGGTTAAACTGAAGGCAACAGTTATAAAATAATTTAAATCTTTAAAAAAGGAGCTGAGAATATTTTATTTGGTTTCTCTCTTCCAAAATCAATGTATGTCTGAAGACTACAGCTATGAAGAAGAATCAGTCCTTTAGGTTCCTGGACATCTTGCTGCACGATTAAACACACACACACACACACACACACAACCAAATGAACTGAGACCACACCCATACAAATTGTCTCACATATACTGTGGCCCCAAAAATTACAGTTAATTATAGAATAGTACAACTGGACAATCACATTTAAAATACATGAGTGTACTGCATTAGATAAAACATAAAACTAAAGTATTATAAAGTAAATAATAAACAATATTATAAATATTATTAAAAATATGATTTATGTGATTTATGAGGACACAAATTTGTATAATGACATGGGTATGACATTTTAAGGACATTTTGAGTGTCCCCATATTTCAAAAGGCTTATAAATCATTCAGAATGAGTTTTTTTTTTATCTAAAAATGCAGAATGTTTCCTGTAAGGGGTAGGTTTAGGTGTAGGGTTGGTGTAGGGCAATAGAAAATATGGTTTGTACAGTATAAAAACCGTTACGCCTATGGAAAGTCCCCACAATTCACAAAAACAAACCTGTGTGTGTGTGTGTGTGTGTGTGTGAGAGAGAGAGAGAGAGAGAGAAAAACCTCACAAAATTGCCAAAACCTCCATTTGGGGATGTCCTCATTTGTAAAACTGGTATACAAATAAGGTAAACAAAGTTTTTTGAAATTGTAAAAATGCAGAAGGTTTTCTGTGAGGGGTAGGGTTAGGGGTAGAGGTGGGTTTAGGTTCAAAAGTGTATAACTATCTGTACATAAAAACAATAGAAGTCTATGTAATGTCCCCATTTAGATAGCTAAGAAAACGTGTGTGTGTGAGTGTGTGTGTACCTGGTATTCCCTACATTATGGGGAAGTATAGTAATACCAGTAAATTTGGATCTTGTGGGGACATTTTTGGTCCCATGAGGAAAACAGCTTATAAATCATACAAAATGTGTATTTTTATTATTACTATTATTATTTTTTAATCTAAAGCGCAGAACGTTTTGTGTGAGGGCTAGGGTTAGGAGAAGAGGATAGAAAATAAAATTTGTACAGTATAAAAACCATTACGTCTATGGAATGTCCCCATAAAACATGGAAACCGAACATATGGAGATGCCTAAGATAAAAAAAAGAGAATGACAGAAAAAACCTGCACAACCAAACACAGACATTTCCTGAGGCCAAAGGTTTTTCTCTTTTCTTTCACACACAACAGATCTCTGCCAGTGGAAAGGATGAGTTGAACCTTAAAAGTTTTGCCTGCCAATTATTAGTCACCAATCCCTGAGGCCTCCATCACAGTCTCACAGAGCCCAAAAACACGCTTACATCATCCTCTCAGTGAACATGCAGTAAATTAGTGTGGCATTTGAGGAGAAAACAGATGTCAGATGTCAAGTCATAGTCAGCGCACATGAGCTGTGGTTAATCTGCCATAAACAAGTACAGTAAGATGCACTCGGCTGACAACTGTTGTTTCTTCCTGCTGCAAGCTGGGAGAAGAGCTCCAAAGTGTAATACGTTTGTGTATCATAAATCATATTGCTCTAGGGAGTATTTATGTTGTGGACCAGCTTTTTTTGGCAAAAATGTAACTGTCTTGAACCATTACTAATACAAAACAAAGAAAACAAAACAGATCTGTATGAAGAGTACAAAACAGCTTCAAATGCTTCTGCTTCATTCACTTTCCCTGAACACACCCTACAGCACCGAACAAGCCTAACCAATGTAATCCATCACCAACATGACCCTCCTTCACCTTCAGAACCATAGGCACTGTCTCACGGTGACATGTGACCTTTAATGAGACCATGGGCAGAAACCTGGCTAAAGCAGAGAGGGTCAGAGTAAAAGTCAATGGATGACTTACGCCTTTTTGCCACAGATGGATTTGTTGTACCAGTTCCTGCATGTGCTGAAGTACTTTTTCTTGGTCCCCATGACCCGCTGCAAAGCGCACACATTGGGCCTGGAAAAGAGAGCAGAGGGAGCATATACATTACAAAAAACCCTCTAGGGATGCTTAATAACTGCATACATGACAGACTTACAGGCGACAGGGTGTTCAATTAGGCAGGTGATTATGTAGAAGTCCTGACAAATTGCTTTAAATAGCTGACTGAACAAAGTGATAATTGCTATTTAGTCCATTTATGTTTAGAAATAAATGTATGGTTAATAAATCAAATAGATTAAAATATTCAGCATTGTTTAATTATGTTGATGACAGATTTCTGAAATTGTAAAATAGATAGATGCAGATATATACATATATATATATATATATATACTGTATATTTAAATGTAATTTTTCAGTTTCAATTACATGCACATAGTTTTTTTAAACTGCAACAACATACTTGTATTTATAAATATATTATTTAAATGAACATAGATTCATACTGTATATAAGATAAACTTAATATATAATACAGTGGGAGTTTGAGACTCCTAGTGAAAATGCTACTTTTGTATTTTCTCTTTTTTTAATTTTAATACAACTTAATCTCATTTTGCAAGCTGATAAATAAATTTTTTCATTAAAAATATTACATATCTGCAGAATCTAAATGAAAGACAAAAAAAGCATCAGGATTTACACAAGTTCAAATAGTACATTTCACAAATTTTCATACTTGATTAGTAACCAAGAAATGGTGCAAAATCATTTCATGTATTTTATGCATTTATGAATTTTGTGTTAATGTTAAAGGTTTAAATAGCATTTTGAATCCCAGATTTTCAATAAGTAATTCTACATTTGATATCATCAACAATGTTAACAAAACTGACCACCTTGTTCCCAGCCAGCAAAGGTGAACCCTTAAAACAGTCAACCCTTACCCTTCATTCTTAGCCCTGATGCGACTGTGCATGACTATCTTGTCATACGCTGAAGACTCCACCTGGTCCAGGGAGGACAGCACCAGGATGGTAAAGGTGGCTGTAAACAGGAGTATCATACTGGAGTATCCCCTGCAGATCAAACCCACTGAAAAAACAGAAGGAATGGGAGCGAGCAACAGGGAACCGGCCTTTATAGCAGCCCTCCCCTTCTCTTTCTGTCTCAAACACACACAATGACACACTGACGGAGATTAATACAGAGAGAGAATCAACCTGCTTCCTATGGATCCGCCCCCTCCATGAGAACCCTGCACGCCTAAGAAGGACCTTCTACAATTATGGAGACAGAAAGAAGAGAGTCGGAGGGTCTTACAATGGTATGACCATCTGAAAAGGTTTAGGTGCATTACATATAAAATATCCACATTATATGCAAAATGTTTTAGATTCATTTATGCACATTTTTATCACTACAGCTCAGTATAAATCTTTATAATTGACAGAACAAAGCTTTATTATTAAATTACACCAACATTTTCTCAGGTGCTCTGTTGGTTTGTCCTCGGAAAAAGGTTGTTCATTATCTGCAGAGTGATACTGGGAAATCAGATGAAAGGATGAAGTCTAATTGTACTGTAACTGTTCGATCTCCTGCCAGTTTCTTTATCACCGGGCTGCTGTCCGTATCTGGATTCTGGCGGTTTTAAGCTGGAGCTCGTGGTTCAGGCCTCAGGCAGGCCTTTGGACAAGTCAAAGGAACATTTTAAAAGCTCCCAAGAATCTCATCTGCATTTATCTCATGCTGTCTGGCATGGAAAGGTGAGTGGGGGAAAAAGTGAACTGAGGATGGGAATAATAGTGGGAAGGGATCTGAATTAGTGTCAGAAAACACAGGTTTACAAACTGTGATCATTAATTTATGTCTGTTTTAACCCTGTGTGAGCATCTACCCCTAGTGGTGGAGTCCTAGCAGTACACAAATGACAAAAATTAATTGCATTTTGCTGCAGATCAGCGTACTTTAATGGTAAAGAGAGTAAAGGGTTTTATCATTAAGTCCCTTAAAGCAGCACTATGTAACTTTTTCTGTGTTCAAAATTTGCAAAATGTATATAATGAGCGAGTACATCATGAATTCCTCTTCCAAACCGCGTTTTTGTCTTATTCCGAATCACTACGGTACACTTATAATAAGTACTTATATTTGGGCTATTGTAGCCTGGTCCGGTCGTCACCGCTGCGGAGTAACACATAACTGCGTGAATCGCCATAGACATAAACTTAGAGAAGTAGCCAAAATTTACATAGTGCTGCTTTAAAGTTTTCGTCAAGTTTACTTCACTTCGGAACATGGGCTGGAATTGGGAACCTGATGTAGCCTATTGTAGTAATGTTGTCTCTGGTCTGTGAGTGTAAATGCGTTCAGGGGGCGTGGCTTTGGACGGCGATTGCAGGAAGGGTGGGAAGTTCGCTTTCAGTGCTATCAGGCTAAAGTTAGCATTTTCCAAGATCTCCTATTGTATCTTTAAAGTAGTCTAAATAATATATATATATATATATATATCTTCTGTGTAAGGCTCAGGACCAAATGCAATGATAGGATGTCCTACCTGCCTGTCAACGTATGTATTTGCATACCTCTGCGCAGCCAATAGCGAGTTTGGGGCGTGGCTACTGTAGCAGGCCAGGCTGAGCCAGAGGGTGTTTAGCCAATGTGGAAAAAGAAATTCAGTTTCTGCTAAAGAAGTTCAAGCTAAATTTGAAGACTTGCCAAAATACAGTGAGAGAGAGACAAGAGGCTAAAACAAGGGTGAACACTGACAGTATTTTTACAAGATGGAGGAATTTGATGCAATGTTGGGTTTCAAATAGTGATGGGAAACCGAGGCTTTCTGAACCGTTTGAGGCGTTCATCAAATTGTGCCGAAAAACTTTCATACATTTCGTAAATTCATTACTCGAAGCTTTTTAACACAGTGCGCATTAGCGACATCTGGTGGTCAGACTCGGTTTCTCCAGCCTATCTAACGAAACATCGCAGAACAGGATGGTTTGAAAAAGTTTTTAATCTGTGCCAACTCGTGTCATGCGTAGTCCGGTCAATGGATTCACATATTGATCAATAATATAGAATATACAAGTGTGTGATTATAATTAATAATTGACGTGAGTAGTAGCAAAAATATTTTGGGTGAGCTGAGACCCCAGCTAGAACATGATAAAATCATAGACTGTAAAAAAACAGGATAAAATGCAATAGAGGTGTGACGTGCATTCAGTTTCTGTCTGGTGTTGAGGTTATTCTAAACTATTCTACTGAATCCCAAATAAGTGTGCACACACACACACACACACAACCAAGTCAATGTAAGTCAAACACAAGAGTCATGCGAAGCACTGATTTTTTTCAAACCAGCTGTCCCGTCCTTCCGATACTGCATGACGTTCGAAGCTTCAAACGTCATCAATCACGTGGTATTGTCATTTCGATACAAGCATCGGCACAGTGTGTGATACAATAGTGCTTTGAAAACTGCGTCGGAGCATCGGAGCCTCGGTATCAATCGTCCCATCACTAGTTTCAAATGAACGACGAACTTGCGGAGTTTCTTCTCGACAGGTAAGCTAAACTTCAATCTAAAAGTGTTGCTAATTGGCTAGTGATGGGAGAAACGAACCTTTTCGAAGCTTCGAATCAATTGAACCAATTGCTTCGCAAAATGATTCACTGTTTCGAAGCGCTCGAAACACCACACGCTGGTGACGCCTGCTGCTCAAAACTGTGAAAATGCAACAAAAACTCAGGCCAAAACAGGAATAAAAACAGCTTTTACAAACCCATTGCAAATGGGTTTTATTTAAAGGGGTCATATGATGCGATTTAAATTTTTTCTTTCTCTTTGGAGTGTTACAAGCTCTTGGTGCATAAAGAAGATCTGTAAAATTGCAAAGACTAAAGTCTCAAATCCAAAGAGATATTCTTTATAAAAGTTAAGAGTCAACCACGCCCTCCTAAAACGGCTCGTTCTAACACGCCCCCACATATCTACCTCACTATGTGGGAAGATTTTTGCCACAGACGATTCAAATGCCAGTTTTGGGCAGTGTAAAGTAGCGCTTGTTGTTTATCATTTCTCCGATCACAAATGCAGACATGGTTTTATGTTTACGCGGCGCGATGCAAAGCAGCGCGTAAAAAGACAGTATAAGACAGTATAATATTATAATTATATTATGGATTATAATTATAACATTATAATCCGTAATTATGTCCCCACTGGATGCAACAAATGCCTCATTTGTAATGGGTTTTATTGGTTTTGTCTGGTCGGGACACGGCATCACAATATGGTAAGGGACATAACATTTCCGTCACACGCTTGAGGTATTCGGCCAATCACAACGCACTGGATAGCTGGCCAATCACAGCACACCTCGCTTTTCAGACCGATGAGCTTTGTAAAAATCGACGCGTTTCAAAAAGGCGGGGCATAGAGGAGAAACAATAATGTACAGTATGTGGAAAATAATGTGTTTTTTTAACCTTAAACCGCATAAACACATTTCATTACACCAAATACACCAAATAATGTTCTTTTTAGCAACATCATATGACCCCTTTAAAGTATAATACATACCATTAAATAAGAAGTGTCTGTATAATATGTGTTTTTTTATATTTCATATTAATTTGCAGGGATTGTCCAAACAGGACAATAATAGACTATTAACTACTTCCCATCCTTTTAATTACACAAATGTCTCGTTAAGAATGTCTACAAATTGATTGATCAAACTGATCAGATCGTATAAAAACAAAAAGTTTTTGGTTCAGTGGTTCACCGCTAGAGGGAGAGCTTATTGAACTGACATGATTCACGGGTTCACAGAGATCATCGCCCCCTGTCGGCAAACTACTGAAATTTCGAAACGTTTTGAAACAGTTATGACGTAACGAAGCCTCTTTTACTGAAATCACTTGACTTTGGCAGTTTGATACGCGCTCCGAACCACTTTTTCGAAACAAATCAAATTTTGACCATGGTATTCTGCTGTCTCACTTGGAGCACTGCATTGGTATTAGAGGTACTGTACTTGACTGGTTTCGGCACTTTTTTACAAACACTCATCAGTGTTTGTATTTCTCTGTGTTTTTAATTATATTTATCTGTTTTGTGAAAATGACCATCTGTTGCATGAATCATTATCTATCTGGTGTCTATAAGCAGCACATACTGTATATTTTTACAAATTGTTTGCATTAATTCACAAATAAAACAAATCTTTAAATAAGTCATAATAATTTATTAATTTGATCTTTTTACAGCCTGTTTTTTCATCTAAAAATATGTAAGAGCTGTGTTTGTGATGTTTGAGATGAGGGAGATGCGCGAAAGGGGGCATTTGCAAAGGTTGAAAACATGCTTTATTTTTGTAGTTCTGCTAGGCGACACTAGTAGCGCAGAAACTGCCTATTCTAGCTTTAATTCTGCAATGTAAGTATTGTATCAGAATTATAACTTGAATTAAAAGAACAGCTGTCATGAGCTAAATGTATGCAACATTACAAGAACAATAAGTTTAATTTTATAAATGAATTTGAAGCGTAATTTGAAATTTTTTGCATATGTCCCATTCATTTACATGGAGAGAGAGGAGTTTATGACCTATACTTCAGCCAGCCACCAGATAGCAATCAAAATACTTTACTTTTCAGGACTTGTGTGGCACACTTGATACGGACTTAATTGTCACCACTTGATGTAATCTGTAGAAAAATAATCACTTTGAAAACGAAAGAGTGAAAAATATCTTAGCTGTGAGTGTTCTTTGGTTATTTGCAAATGCTATTGATGTTATAGGTCATGTAGAAGGGACCTGGAATCAATTTAAAAGTTTTAGAAAGACACACAAAATGACTTTCCCAGAACTTGATTTATTATTCTTTAATGTAATATACATTTTGTCTTTCTTGAGATACATCTCACTAGGTTGCTTAAATTTTGCCCAAGTCCTGTGTGTACAGATATCCTATAATGGTTGTTTTCTAAGGCACTTTCTGCCTTTCATAACTGAAATGGAACATCGTATCTGATTTGAAACATAGGCAACAATGTGCACACAAATGCTCATCATACAAAGTGCTTGTAAGTCTCTACTCACAATTGATTTGAGTTTGTTAGCATGCTGCTAACACGGTGACATTGTCTGTAACAACTATAGAAATACATTTAAAAAATAGTTTAACTATTGACTCTTTATATACACTGCTATTCAAAAGTTTGGGATCAGTAACATTTTTAATGTTTTTTTAAGAAGTCTCTTATGCTCATCAAGGCTGCATTTGTTTGATCAAATAATATTTTGAAATGCTTTTACAATTTAAAACAATGTTTTTTTTTTATATACTTAACTTAGATATACTTAAATATAATTTACCTCTGTGATACAAAGCTGAATTTTCATCAGCCATTACGCCAGTCTTTAGTGTCACATGATCCTTCAAAAATCATTCTAATATGCTGATTTATTATCAATGTTGGAAACAGTTGTGCTGCTTAATATTTTTTTAGAACACCTATTTTGGAATCTACATTTCTCTCTTTGTCTGCTCTCTCTTTTTTATTTATTTATTTATTTTGGTTTATTGACAGAAAAATAAGAAATACCATAACATCACATTGAATCTCACATCTTTCTTAAAATAATGTACAGTTCATTACTGGATCACACAGTTTCACTGATGATCCACAATAAACCCTAAACCCAGGATAGATGGGCTGAGTGAATGTGGTGTGGACTATATAGATGAGTTTCATTTAGTCAGAGATGCTGAAAAAGAACACAAATTCAGCACTGTAATCCACTGCTAATCTAGAAGTCTTCAATTTAGAAGTGTTTACATATAGTTTAGTCATTTTGTTACTGTCCCAGAATGTGTATTTGGAAGGGGAGCAGTACAAACTCATAGACTGATCATTACATCCAAATTTACTCTCATCCCCATTTCCCTTCCTGCAGATGCTCTGATAGGCCAATGATACACCCACACCAGCTCTCCCACTCCACTCAAACATCCCAGTAGGCATTCTAGGTATTCTTTTCCATAAATTTTTTTCCAAGTTTCCAACTGCAATGCACACCAAAATTAAAACAGTTACAATGGCACACACTGTATAAAGGTCCTAGATCACGTAATTTTCACAACTCGCAACTTTCAAACTGTTTTACTGAGTTTTTGTCTACGTAAAGTTGTTTTTTTTTTCTTTCCGGAAAGACGTTTCGTCAGCTGAACAATTGGCATATTGTTAAACAGCAGTACACTCCATTGAACACTGTACTTCTTTTCCCTACAGCCTCGTTTTCATTCCTGTCAAAAATTAAATATGGTGATAACCTGACTAAGATCTGTTAACTGTATCTTTTAGATTTTTGTAAATGTAAAAATGCATAGGCCTATTATTACAAAAGGCAAAACATTTGTAATGAACGGTTTGCAAGCCATAATCATACTTTACACATTAATGGATCAACTTTGTTGAAATGGGTTGGCAAGCAATTCAAAACCGAAAGCAACATGCATGCGATGGCCAGGCATTTGCATTACATGTTTCTAATTCATACCTGATTAATTCTCTCTGTTCCTGATGTCACATCATGATTTTTGTGGTTATCCATCGTACACCGCATACAAATACTCATCTGGTCAGTATGACAGAAAATCTCCAAAAGCTCATTGTGTATTGGACAGATCATCTCCTGGAGTTGCTCAGTGGCATCAATCAAACAGTGTCTCTCACTTTCAAAGGCATTCTCATGTTGTTGAAAGTGAATTTGACAGAAAGAGTTCAGACACAACAGACAAGATTTGATGGCTTTATATTTTCTGCCCGTACAGACATCACACTTCACATCTCCAGGTCCAGCTTCAGTGTGAGAAACTCGAGCAGGCTGGGGAGTGGTCTGGAGTCCTGTCCTCCTAAGTTTCTCCACCATTTCAGCAACCTCCACATTTTTCCCTAATACAGGTCTTGGAGTGAAGGTCTGTCTGCACTGAGGACAGCTGTATTCTCTCCCACAAGCATTTTCATCCCAGTGGCGTCTAATACAGTTCATACAGTAACTGTGTCCACAGGGGATGGTCACTGGATCGTTCAGTAGATCTAAACAGATCGAACAGCTGAACTGTTCCCGGCTCACAGAAATATTAGCTTCTGCCATTTCAGTACATGTTGATGATGACGGCTTGACAACACGTACCACACTAGTTTCCTGGTTTTGTGTTTAAGGGAAGTGCCAAACAGGTGTGTCTGTAAGATGTTCATACCTGTATTTTGCTGCACATTAAACAAAGTCCAAAGCAATAGTTCACTAGGGTCAATAAACAGTTGTGTACTAACTTTTGATTTTCCAACATTTGTGAGAAATGCACTTACAATAATAAAATTTACCAGTGCAAAGGGAGAAAGGACTTACTGGCTGAACAAAGGTCTATACAGTGTAATTTAGATTATGTTTTAGAAGCTATTGATTACAGTCATGTTAAGTATATTCCTTACCAATAGCGATTTACAGTGTGCAACACACACAAACAGAATAGACACAGTGACTTTGATAAGTTGTAGCACATAGCTCTATTAAATTTTATAATTTAGATTATTTGGATCATTGCCAAATTTGGGTCCAAAAATATTGAGACGCCACTGAAAATAGTTCTAAAGGACATCAAAGCAGAATCAGATGTTGCATGTCCCTGAGCAACACACAGTAGTGGTGTTTGGTTCTTAAATGAATCCATCCTGTTTTTGAATGAATCATTTGAGTGAATGATTCAATGACTCACTAAGTCACTTATTGCCACCTACTGCTGCAGAAACTGTTACAAAATCCTCACCACTCATGCACAGACTGACAGCCAACAGCGTGGAACGTGCAAACAATGCCTCTTCAGTGATGTAACTGTTGAAAATCCCTGAGGTCAGCTCAGTAGTTCTGGATTTTAGCATGCACAAAGCATATTGTGTCAGTGCATTGCCCCTTGCTGCAGTGCAAATGACTCAATGCTGTATTAAACTTCATTCAAGTGCCCTTGAGCTGCACACTGGATTCTCTAGGGTGCTAATTCAAATAAATTATAGATAGGCCTTTGTATCCTGGTGAAGGATGGAGAATGTGAATCAAATTAGATGACGAAATCTGCCCACAGGTTAACATTCCCACCCCATCAAACTGTGCAGCACTGCAGGAGTCTGAGCCTATTTAAAACCATTACAGATCCTCCATTTACATCAGTACAGTAGATAACCTGTTGCTGGTTAAAATATGGCATGCCATGGGTCAATATAAAATGAATCACAACAGAATTTATATGAAATCTAATATAACTTTTTTCACTTTAAGCTCTCATTGTGCTGTTTAAATGCAATGTGAGATTTTTTCCCCCCTCGGGTTATGGAAATAGTTCATTATAAACAGAAATTTCATTATGGAATCCATGGTCTTTTTAATAAAGAACAATCTATCCCACTTATCAGTTCATCCCACAAATGTATCGTGTTAATCTGTGCCCACCTTTTCATAGTATCACACTATAAAAATTAATAATTGTATAACATTACACATAATTAATGTTAGTCATATATCTTTTTAGTGGTCAAATTATGTATTAAAGGGGTCATATGATGTTGCTAAAAAGAACATTATTTTGTGTATTTGGTGTAATGAAATGTATTTATGCGGTTAAAAGGTTAAAAAGGTTAAAAAAACACATTATTTTCCACTTACTGTACATTATTGTTTCTCCTTTATGCCCCGCCTTTCTGAAACGCGTCAATTTTTACAAAGCTCATCGTTCTGAAAAGCGAGGTGTGCTCTGATTGGCCAGCTATCCAGTGCGTTGTGATTGGCCGAATACCTCAAGCGTGTGACGGAAATGTTACATCCCTTACCATATTGTGATATGGTAAGGGACATAACATATCGTGTCCCGGAGCGACGAGACAAAAACATTCAAATCCATTATAAACGAGGCATTTGTTGCATCCAGTGGGGACATAATTACGGATAATAATGATTTATACTGTCTTTTTACACGTTGCATTGCATCGCGCCGTGTAAACATGTCTGCATCTGTGATCGGAGAAATGACAAACAACAAGCACATTGCTCAGAACTCGCGTTTGAATCGTCAGTGGCAAATTCTTTAAATATAAAAAACGTACTTACAGTCTGTGAGTCAGAACAGCCGGCATTATAGTCTACTCTCCCAGGATCAGGAAACAGTCCTCCATAAAATGCACTGCACACATCTGAATATTTGGGTTGAACTGTTCTGGAACAGTGTTGTAAATACAACTTAACCACTGATTTCTAGTCGTGTCCATTTTTGGAAGGCCAAACAAAGTAATTTCGCTTTCACAAC